ACTCAGGCTTTAACAAAGAAAGACATATTGTATGGAATATTAATAAAAGTATAAATGAATAAGAAAAGAAATTCTCTTTATTGTGTCTCAGTGGAGAAAATTATGTGCATCAACAGCAAAGAGAAAGGCAATTCACACAGGGTATTAAAGGGGCAATGTCATGTAAAATCAACTTTTTGAGTTTTATATATTTTATAATGTTATACTCTCATAAAGACATACCCAAAGCCTTGCTTTGACTCATTCATGCATGTTTGAGAAATCCTGCAGCATTTTTAGGCAGCCATGCTGAGGAGCAAAACGACAGGTGGGGACCAGAAATGCCTCAGGGACGTGTCTTTAAGGTGAACTTCCTCATCACGGAGCACACCTCCCTACCCCCCCCCCCCACACACACACACACACACCCCGCCCATGACTCCTGCAGGCTCTCGGCAGTAATAAAGCAAACGAGTGAAACTGTAACTGAAACTGAAACTGAAACTGTCTGAGCTCCCAATACTAGTTCTCACTCAGTGAAGCGCTTTTCAGATTCAAAATACCTTTGAAGCAATGTAATTTTAGATGCCAAGTAAACTGCATAGCACGTGCGCGAACATTCCCCCGCCCCCCTTAAAGAGACAGAGTCCAATTTCAGGGCGTTTAGAAGAGGAAGTGATGAGAAGATAAGTTTATTTTCTATTTAAACATTAAAACAGCATTTTAATAACAGCTAAAGGTGACATAGACACTTTATTATTGGATGGTATTTAAATGAATGCCTGAGAAACACATAATATTGCCCCTTTAACACCTTTCTTCATGTTTCTACATAAGTCATTGCAGCTTTTGTGTCTTTAAGTGCTGCTCATCTTTTTTTCTCATTTTCTACCACTGAAACACCCAGGAAGTGATGGCAGATCATAAAACTACATTTCAGTTTCATCTTCTGAACATGTTTTTTATACATTTTCTTCTTGGCATTAAGCAGTTTTTTAAACAGTGGCTCAGATGAACTATGATAAACTTTGCCAACTGTTTCATTACAGGTTGAAAAACTTAGAAAGTTACAACAGATACACATTGTCATTGCACTTTAGGAAAAGTAGGTCTATCTGTTCAAACTTATCCAAAGATTTTGCATTTCTTTGTATTGTTACATTCATGTTTTTTTTTTATTTATCTGTTTTTAGTTAAATGTGTTTTTTTTCCTTCTCTGTCTGTCCCCCCTCAGAGCTACACAGGTCAAACAGGCGGCGGCGGGGGAGGAGGCGGAGGTGGCGGCAACTCAAGTGGGAATGGAACCGGGGACGAAGACTACGAGATCCCTCCAATCACTCCACCCAACCACCCTGAGCCGCCTCTCCTTCACCTGATGGAGCACGACTCTACAGGCTACCTCTGTCACTCGCTGCCACACAATGGGCTCATCAACCCCTACTCCTACCCAGAGCTGCCCACTCTCATGATGTCCAACATGTTGGCACAGGACGGTCACCTCGTCTCCAGCCAAATGCCCTCGGTGAGTAGAATCGTTGTGTCCCATGGGGGCTGCTGTTGTTCTTCAGAGCTGATGTTCAAAGACACGTTTAAAAACATGTGTGGGTTTGTCACAAAAACACCATCACTTTTAAATGTCTTAGCGTATTTTCCAGTACATGAACTTAATATTCAGAATTATTTCAACCTGATTAATACGGTTGGTTTTGCGCAAACTGTTTTCTAAAACATGGTTTTTAACAGGTACGTTCAGGCTAAATGGAACACAAGACTGTTCGACGTTTGCCTTGTCAGCTCTAATGTATGGAAAGAAGGATTGTGGGTAAATTAATCACCATCATATCTGCTTCGACAGCATGCATCGGTCAATCTGTCAGGCCTTCAAACATGAATACATGCTGATTACTCCCCCAGCTTCGCTCAAAAAACCTCCTTGATAAATTAGCATTTTCAAACCATAATTGCATTCATGAGAACTGCTGGAAGGAGCGGGCTTTTATCACAACAACGTATATAAGTTTACGTATAAAATAAACGTACAGTTGCTTTTTATTTTGCAGAACTCTTAGATGGCGCTCTGGAAATGTCAAATTATGTTCAATTTAGAGGTGAGCTTGAAGTTCAAGTTATTCTGAATAGTTTTTCACAAAACTGAAAATATCGCACTGAAAAAGGTTCCTTTTAAGTTAGAAACTGTCAGAATGAATCTCTTTGAAAGAGGAAGTGATTCATGTTTTTTTATTGATTTGCACCACTGAAATGGTAGGAAAACAATGGATTTGGTGACCAACTGTAGCATAGGATACTTTTGTTTTTAGGGTTTGAAGGTCAAGAGGTTTATGCTTTAAAATGACTAAGTTATTATTTGCATTTGCAGAAATATAGATAATTGGAAGCTGTATTTTTCAGACGATAACCAAAAGCAAATCAGGTTACATTCATTTCTCATTTTTATCCCTGTAATTACATATAAGAGTGGCATTATGTTTTGCATTATGAAAACCTTAAGTATTTCAGCTTCATTCTGTATACATTTGATGCATTCAGATGGATGTCAAGGTCAAGTATGATGTATAGAGCTCTCTGCAAACACAAGCGAAAGTGGAATACAATAGTCAGTGTGCAGTCAAAATATGTCTTGATAAAGATCAGAAATATAAACATGTTATTCCTGATATATAATGTATATAATACATACAAGGCAGGAATATTCCCTCAAGGTATTAGATTTACAGGTCATTTATCTTCATATTCATTTCACATTTTGGTCATGACCTTTACTGGTGAGACATTGGTTGATTGGCTGGTCTTTCACTCTGCAGTTAGTGTGTTTGTTTCGGCTACAAAGAGCCATACTTCAGTTTTAATAGACTGAATACAGCAGGCTGAAAAATAAAAATGCATGAGATTCTAGATGTTCGGGTCACTCAACATATTGAGCATGTATTTAAAACGCATTTATTACAAAATGCTAGAGACTCCCTGAGAACGGGGCTCTGATAACCTCGGTTCGTTTAAAGGGCAGTTTTAGAACTATACATACAGTGGTAATGGTAATGCAAATGTTCTTTTGAATTATGTTTAAATTATAAGAAGCATGTGTGATAGTTGGAGTATGGTGCACTCTTTCACCGTGCCAGATGGGTAAATATAAAATGTATGGATGAACATGGCTCAAAAATTATGACAAAGTTTAATGAAATTATAGGACTGTAAATAACATCATCAAAATAACAGTTTTCAAGTTGAATTCTAATTGTTTGCATTTTATATTTTAACGCTCAACCTCTCAAGTCCAGCTCTGTTCACCGTCTTCTATAAGAAGCTTGAAGATCTTCTCAGCACTCTGCTTTAACTTCACTCCGAAAAGCAGCACCGAAAGCAAACTCTTTTTCTAAATCAAATAGTCTGCCTGGCAAAACTAGCAAACCGTAGCAGAGTTTCATTTGTGCCGAGAGCCGAGTGTCTATTAAATTGGTGCCTCACCTTGACATAGTCTGTTGAGCAGAGTAATTAAGCAAACTCTACAGTTCAAACACGAGATGGTATCATTATGAATTTTTCACTTGACATGGATGGATAAATAATGAGGGTTAATTCAAATGTCTGTCTCTTTGGCTGGCTAAAAAGAGCACCATGCAAAGTTTCGCTTCTTCGTGTTGATGTACTTTACGTGTGGGTTCGAGCGTGTGTACATATTTCTGTGTCTTCACTATAAACAATATCTCTGCTGTTGAAATGGATCCACTACATCTGGAGGTCAGGCCTTATATTCAATCTTGAGCACATTGAAAAAAAAATCCATTAGGGTTCATCTTTCCTGCATCAGCCATTCTATTGTGGTGCTGCAGTGAGATCTGTTTTCATCAAGCAGATTCAATACGTGAGCTGGGCAATGAAAAGAGTGCAATAGAGTTAGATGAAGAAAGGAGAGGTTGAGGGGGGTGGGAGGGGCGTGGGGGGGGGGCTGTGGCAAGGAAAGCAAGGAGAGATTGTAAAGAGGAAAAAGGTAACTCTTATTCAAAATGAGCATATACCTCTAGTTTTCTGTACCTCCTGGATTTCGTTATTAGATATTTTAGAGATAATTCAGTTGAGGGAAATAAGGTTATTGTGGCTGAACAAAAGGCTGAAAGCTTCTGGTTTTTAATGCGGACCCATTTGATTTTGAAATATGAGGGCATTTGAAAGTACTCCAATGCAGGTGCAACAATATAAACACATAATAAATAGGCCGATTATATAACAACAAGGATGTAGACAAAGCACCATTACAGCAGCAGTTGATCATAGTCATGGAGCTGTTAGACAGAATAGATAGGGGGTGTTAAGATTGTTGTGCGAAGGTGAGCCACAGGACTTAATGATGTTTAAAAATACATCTATAAATGGATTCAGCGTTGCATCGGGGTATAGTTTCTATTGGCCAGACTGTAAAGATTTACAATACACTCACTAATTAAGAATCAAATATAGTCATGCAAAAAACTCCATACACGTTTTTAGTTTTTTGCAGTTTCCTTCAAATAAGTTTGACTGCTTTATGTAGTAAATATGTCTTCTGAAGTATTTACAAAGTTTAATTTAATTTTTTTTGGACATTGATTTCTAATCAAAAAGAAAAAAAAAGTAGTAGGTCCTCTGGATGGGTTCTTCTTTAGTGAAATGTTTCGTCTCTCGTCCAAGAGACTTCTTCAGTCTGATGAGTTTCAGGTGAACTCAGCCTTATAAGCACTGCCTCCACATGGACAAACAGGTTAGTCACATGCAAAAMAGGGCCATCGKCTAACAATAGGCTTGATTAGCTCTATTGTTCATAGAGGGTCATGTGCCCCATCTCCTGACCCGTGTCGTATTATGTGAATGTAGTGAATGCAAACGGGGGTTCAACGTCCCCTTGTTTTTGTCTCTCTTTCCCTCTTTGTGTTGGTATCATTGGGGCCCTGATTCACACCTTTTGCTCACAGGGGGGCTGAGTCATACTTGCAATAACAGCATTGTAGGAGGAAGACAACTGGACACGAAGGCCTCCACCTCTGTTTAATGTGGACGGTAAAAAAGAACCCATCCAGAGGACCTACTTATTTTCCCTTTTTGATTTTTTTCTACCTGGATTACTGAGATGCATCAGGACATTGATTTCTAATGTCATCCAGTTTCATTATGAAGGCTATTTTATTACTGAGCAGCACAATGGCTCAGTGGTTAGCACAGATGCCTCACAGCAACAAAGTCCTGGGTTTGATCCTCGGTTTGGACCTGGGGTCTTTCTCTGTAGAGTTTGCATGTTCTCCTCGTGCTTGTGTGGGTTTTCTCCAGGTACTCCGGTTTCCCCCACCCTAAAAATATGTACAATAGGTTGCCGTCAGATCTCAACAGGACTTGCCTGGTTAATTAACAGGAAATAAATAAATTATTGACATATTCAGTCAAATTAAAATCATTAACTCAAATAGTCAACTTCTAGTTGAAGTGTTACTTTTTTATTAGAACAACTGTTGTATGCCTTTAACTTTGTAAAGCAAATCCTCTCAATAATTGTAGAGATGTGATGGAAATCCCCTTATTTCTTTCCTCTGAAAGCTTTGAAAACATGAAAGACACAATTAACTATTTTTCAGATTTTGCGAAGAGGCCATTTTCAATTTTTTTTCCCCTTTTTGTCCAGAGAGTTATTGTGTTGTGGTCTGAAACCCCTCCTGGACGAACCTGATATCTTTCAGAGAGCCCTTTTCTCTGATGCTCTGCTGCACTTGGCAGGCCCTCTCTCTGCTCCTCTCTGTTAATGCCCCCACTGTCATAGCATCTACAAGTTCCAAAACACATTAGAAATTTAATAGCCTTGCTCAGGTTGCATTGATTTTATCAATGCAGCCCAGAAAGATACACATCTCTGTTGCAACTAGTGAATAATTTCTGGACTCACAAGCAAAGTGGCCTCATTGTAGTTGGTTCCACTTTCATTTACACCTGAACTTGCTGAAAGAAAAACTGTTTAATTATTGGATGAATAAAGCTATTTATAAGAGTGTCACACCTGTGCTGGATCAGCTACTTCTACTCAAAGAAGCTTTTTGAGCGTTTAAAGTGTCTGTCAGATTCATGCAACTGGAATAAATGATCTTTGATATATTTTTTTTCTTTTTTTCATTACGTGTGATGCTTTTTCAAAACGTAACAGATGATAAACGTATAATCAGCTTTGGAAATGCTATGCATAACAGTGTGAGCAGAGCAGTAATATGAAAAAGAGTCAGCTTTTCCAATTGCACAAGTAGTTTTTTAATGCATTTTTAAATTAATCTTTTTATTCCATGTATAAAAAACAATAATCTGCAAGAATAAGGGTCGGTTTGTCAGTAATGAGGGCGGTGGTACCCCGATGAGCTGCGGGTTGTATTCTCATTCAAATTTATTCTTTATTATTAATATTATTATTAATATTATTTTTATTTATTTATTTTTTGTTAGAACATCTCAGTGTAAAAAAAATCTCTCTCAAGCTCTTTCTCCTCTGTTGCT